GGCTTTTCCTAAAACGCACTGAAACTTGGACAAAATCAGGGTTTTGTTAGCAAGGAAAGCAGGAAGATAGCTGGGTAGACAACCAGCAGTGTGTGGTACTCTTTTTCTTGAATATGCCAAAAGGAGGATGAACTCTTTTTTTCTTTTGCCTTATTAAGACAGGGTCTCACTATGCAGTTCAGGCTGGCCTTGAGCTCACTTTGTAGCCCAGGCTGGTCTTGAACTTGCAACAATCCTCCTGCCTCAGCCTCCGGAGTGCTGGGATTAGAGGCATGTGCCACCACACTTGGTTTAGGACGAACTCTTTTATTTCTGTACAGAGTGGCTGGCCCATTGTACCACTGTCCTCTTGGTCACCCAGAGCTATGCCATCAAAAGCCCTGTGCATGCCCTTCATGAGAGGACACTGTGTTTTGTGAGTACCCAGGCAGGAAAACTCAGGGCAGACTACACTTCACACAAAGTGGAATAGTGATATGAGGTTTTGATAAAAGTTTGAAGTAATAGAAAATGTTATGTGAGGTAAAATTTTGTGAAAGCATTCATACTAAATATAATTTTCTCGTAGTGGGAGAAACCCTTTTCAGGACTGTTAGATGTTCTATGTTCTTCCTACACTCCTTGGTCCTTGTGACTGGGCTCCCTGCCTGAGGGCACTGGCCTGGCTTATACTGGAGTTGGTCACATTGGCTGCTGTGCAGGACCGATGGCAGGACGGTGGAGGGGGAGAGCGGTGAGGGGGCTTCCTACTGCGCCCTGTGGACTGGTGGCCCTGGAGGTGCGAAGTGGAGAGGGAATGGTCAGTGTGAATTCATGGCGACAGGAACACGCGGAGTGCCTGGGAAGTGGTGAGTGGCGAGCTGGCTGGAACCTGGAGGTGTAGTAAGGGCAACTACGGGAGATGGATATGGGCACTGGGGAGGGTCCCGGGTGCCAGGGGTGGGAAATCAGCTGTAAGAGGCTGGGGTTCTCACAGTGTATGTCTTGGATGCTGAGTGCTTCCATGCTTGCAAAAACCATAACTGGGCTCTGTTCCACCCACACCCGTGAGAAACTGCTCCAGGATCCCAGATAGTGAGATAAGTGAGATAAGCTGGTGATCTTCACCCAGGGCTGCGAGCCACCCTGCTCCAGCTTCCAATCCCTTCCTTCCTCACTCTGGAATACCCGAGCCTCTCCTTTTGTGTTTCTGTGTCCAGCTCACCTGAACTTCGGGGCTGAGCTGGAAATCTGAGCCTGAACTCCCCAGTAGAAGGGGTGTGGGTCTAGTAGCGGGCCTGGGGAGCTCCGCAGGGAGTGGGCAGTATTCTGGAGGCAGGCACCAAGGTGTACTTCACTGCAAATGCAGGCTGCCTTTGGCCTCAGCTAGGGAAAGGGGATGCTGGGGTGGGCCGGGGTAGGAGGACCCCAGGCACTCGTCCATCCCAGCTCTCTGATATCGACCTGTTTACCTCATTTTTAAAAATTTCATTCTCTGCTCATACCACACATAGTGCTTTCTCTCTAGGCAGTTCTGAGCTGTTTGTTTCAGCAGCTAGTGGCTCAGTTTGCCCATCCATACAATAGGGGCCCAAACAGGGAAGTCTCGATGCACTCCTCCCCGTGTCACCCTCATACCTAACTGAAAAGTTCTACAGTGCCTACCATTCAGATGATGATCAAATGCAGTCCCCCTTGAGAGGCAGAAGTTCTAGTTGGCTTGGGCTTGGTAGCTGTGTGATCTTAGGCAAGTCCTATACCCCTTCTTGGGCTCTATAAAATGTACCCTCAAGGCATTGCTATTTATTCTTATTGAGAACTCACGTGAGCACTGAGATGTAAGCCCTGGTTCTCCCAGCTCTTGTTAAATGAACCTGGGAACTGTGCCGTCTCTTCCTTCGTGTTATATCCCCTTTGTTTTTTATCAAGGATATTTCTTCCCAGTTACCGGGTCATGTCATCCCCACCTGGGAGTCCACTTCCCAGGAATAGGATGAGCATAGAAATGCAAGTTCTCCAGAAAGGTGAGTATGCTTGAGGCAGAGGAAGGTTCCTTAGGGGTCTAGGATCCTTGGCTGTCTACAGAGGATACTTGGCTGTCTACAGACGATCCTTTGGTTCACACCGATTCAGATTTTTTTAGGTTTTTTTTTTTTTGTATCAGTAATTAAACTCACAACTACACACTTGCCAGGCAGGCACGGCACCGCTGAGCTATATCCCCGGTCCACACTGATTCAGAGATAGGGTCCCTCTCCTGCTGGCCATTGTGTCCTAAGAAGAGTTTAATTTTTGCCTAAACCCCTAACTATCCTACGCTTGAGGTGGGAGCTGAGTGATCAGGGGTCAAGTTTATCCCGTACCTGATTGCTGCTTGGGGAGACCAGAATCCAAGCTCTCCAGAGTACCTTAGCTGGGACTCATGAGCTGCCCTGGTTCTAACCGGCATCCTCGCTTCAAGACACTTGCAAATGTATTTTCATCGAATATGACTGTCACAGTCACCTACAGGTAGCTACAAACAAGAGGTGAGATGCATTCTAAGGCCATGATTGCAAGTCTCAGTACACCCCAGGGAGGACGTGATGTGTTCCACCCCAGCGGTCCCCTGGCAGCCCAGTCCTCACTCCTCTAAAGCCAGAGCCACAAGGTTGCGCTGTGGTGCTGGTCAGGAGTTTTGGTCGAAAATGGGAGGCTGCTAGAAGGTATTTCTGGGCCTTCTATAACATAAAACATTTTCCCCAAAGTTCTGCCTCTTTGCACAGGCCATATGAATCACTTGAAAGGCTTGTTGAAATTTAGGTTCTGGCCCAGTGGGTGTAGGGTGGGTCCCAAGATTCTGCATTTCCAAGGAGCTCTTAAGCAATGGATACCCATGCAGCTGGGCCTCAGCCTGTGCTGTAAAACAGAGGGGAGGCTCCCTTCCCAGTCCTGTCCTCTCCTGCCCTGGCAGAAGTGCTCCGTGAACGCAGAGGGGCAAAGGAAGAGTAGCGAGAGAACGGAAGGAGGAAAGAGCCTTGCTCCTGGTGTTACAGATAGTGAAACTAAGGCCTAGCACGCCAGAGGAACCTGACTGAAAAATCTCACAAAAATGGGGGGACAAAGTCAAGACTCAGGCCTCCTGTACTGGGGAAAACACCAAAACAAAAGCAGAATTCAGAATTCAAAAGTCTTAACTGTGCTCTCTGGGCAAACTATGGGTTCCCCCTGCCGATTTGTGACAGGCTTTGGCTATGTTACCCGTGCTGGCCTCTAACTGGTGATCCTCCCTCCTCAGCCTCCTGTTTTGTATTTTTAAAAACAATGAACACGTCCTGATTTTATAATAAGAAAAATAATTTTAATAAAGGAAACATTTCACAGAGCTCTTAGTACTGAGATTATGTTTATGAATGTATTTGGTAAACTGTAACCGCCTTCAGCAGCTTCATGTCCTCGGTGTGGAGTTCTGCCCAAACTGTCCACGAGATAGTTCACCCACCGAGGCTCTGTTTTCTCGTTTGGGAACATAAATCACCGCCCCGATGAAGGTCATCGCTGCTGCCAACGACATCCCCCTCTCGGCTTCTGCTGTCCGAGCTTTGCCCAAAGCGCTCAAATCGGGAAGAAGATTCCCTAATCCGTTTTCGTACTAAACGACCTTGGGCCAAGTCGGCTTTTGTTGCTGGCTTCCTAAGCTTAATTGCAAAGCAACGTTAATTTGGAAGAAAATAAATGTTACAGCTCTGGGGCGAATTCTAACGAGCCTTGGGCAATTAGGGAAGAACGCATCTAATTACCCACAGCCCGCGGCGCCTGCACACGACGCGGGAGAGGAACAAGCTACCTTTCCGGGTTCGTAGTGGGCCGAGGAAGAAAAGAGAAAAAGAAACGCACCTCCAGTCTCCGGGACCCCGGGTGAGGGGAGCGTTCCGCGGTCCAGCGAGCCAGAGTCAGACCGTGGGGTCCCGCAGGCTGGAGTGTCGGTGGGTGACTCCCGGTGGTGCGCAAGCCGGTGGGAGAAGCACGGTCGCTCTGTTCTCAACGCCACGACCCCACCCTTCGCAGGCCTCCCTCTCCGGCGGGCGGCCGCCGCACGCCTCCAGTTCCCTCCACTCCACGTCCTCTGTCTCCTGGCGCCCACCCTAGCTTTCGGCTATATCATCTGTCGCCCAAGCCAACAGGGAGCGTGTGGGACATACACACCCGTCTTTTCACTTCCCATCTTCTTGGGCCCGGGGCTTTGTCTCGACGCCCCTGGAAGTTTTGTAACAAGACTGCAATTAGTTTTTTAAAGGCTTCCCACTCGCCTATACCTGTTCGCAAAGCATTTTTCACTTCTTTTGTCTGGGTTAACGTCAGGAAGACCCCCTGAGGTAGCAGACCCAAATTCGTATTTCGCAAACGAGGACCCTAACAGGGACTGGCTTAAGGTTAACTGGGGGCCCTGTCAAAGCACTTGGTGATTAAGAAACAGAAACGGGCTTAATTCCCACACTCACTAGGTGCAAAACCCGTTCTCCAGCCCCAATCTCGGGGTCTCCCGAGTCAAACACAAAACTCCCGTGTGAACTCTGTTTTCCTTGCTGCCACCTAGGCAAGGTGCTCTGCCTTCTGCATTGAAAAGAGCCAGTTGCACAGTACAACACCCTTGAATTTCATGCCTGGAAGAGTCTGCAGGGAGAGGAGGGAGGCCCAACACCCAGACTCTTCCAAGGTTTCAGGGTTCCATCTGGAATGTACCCACCTGCTGCGGGGTTGATGCCCTGGCTGCCACCTGCATGGAGGTGGTCATTTATCCCCACCAAAGCCAGGAAAGGACCACCACTTAGCCCCAGACTGTCCTCAGCGGCAGTCACCAGCCATAGTTGCAAGTGACCACTTGGCATGTGACCAGTCCAAAATTAGATGAACTACAACTGGAAAATACACTCCGGAGTTTGAAGACACAGTTTGAGAAAGAGGACACACCTTAACAATTTTTATGTCGATTAGATGCTAAAAAGACATTTTGGGTATATTAGGTTAAATATAATACACTATTAAATTAATCTCACCTGTTTATTAATGTAGCTACTAGAACACTCCCATCTGGGCTGAACCAAGCTTATGTCTTTCTGAAAAGGATAGTGCAGTTCCCGAAACAAAACATAAAAATTACCAATGATTTTCATACATTTTTTTCAGACCTACTCTCCCCCTTCCCTCCCCCCCACACACACACAAAAAAAAACTGCAGAAGGAGGCTCAGTTTCTCTTACTGGAACTCACTTGTTCAATTTTCCTTTTCTTTTTTTTAAATTTTTGTACTGGAGATTGAACTCAGGGCCTTGAGCATGATAGACAAGCATTGTACCCCTGGGTTATACCTCTCATCCCTGCAGTGACAGCAGTGATTTTTATTCACTTCACCTGAACACTCAGGTTTATCGGAAATCTGTGAATAGAGTCTCTGAAATATCTAACATTGGAAAATTTCCCTTTAGAATTGAAACAGGCCAGAGAGTTGTTGGATTTTCTGACTTTGGTAAGCTGGCTGCTTAAACAAACAAGATACAAAATGAAATTAAAAGTTCAATTTCTCTCTGAAATACTTTGCTGGTCACTAAATTTAATTCTTCTCTTTCCTTTTCCCAGTGGGGAGGTTGTTAAGGTGTAAGAGAGGGTGCCACGATGGAAGACCTAACCCAACTACTGACAGAACTTGCCCACAGACAGGCTCCCTAGAATTCTCTCTTCTTGAATTTGAGTTTACCCGTTGGGTCCAGGACTACTTGATGAAAAGAAGTCTTGGACAAAGGATGAATGTAGTTCTTTGCCTCACCAGAAAACCAGATTTGTGATGGGGCAGTAATAGCTGTGGAATGACCAGCACATCCTGCTCAAATTGTGCTATAACTGGTGCTTGGAGCTAATCCTAGGATTTTAGGTTAGATGCCTGCCATGATCTGTTCCAATTCCCCAAATGGTGGTTAGGTTTTGGGTGGCTACTCAGAAGCCCTGGGTGGCCCACATATGCTGCCAAATACACAGGGTGGCTTCCAAGATGATGGGGCCCCTAAGTATAATAAGGGGCTGAGTAGAATTGTGAAGGCCTCTTGCATAGCACTTAGGCTAAAGGTTCAGGTGATAGGACTGGGAGCTGGGCACGGTTTGGACTGGGAGCTGGGCACGGTTTGGACTGCGACCTAGGCCTACAATTCTCAGCGGCAGCCCAGGTCAACGGGAGCAGATTTTTCATATAAAATAAGAAAAGGAGCTGCAGTTTCTTTCTTCTCTCTCTCTCTCAATCAAGTCCTCTATACTTTAAGAAGAAAGGTGCCATCGCAGCCCTTTATTGTAGTAACATAGTCAAAGGCACAAGGGGCCGCCGAACCAATGAAAAAGAGCCCGATTTTACGTAGCCAAAGGGTGAAACTATGATTCCCCATAATTGGGATCCAGAATTCTGGTGTAGACGTTACATTCCCCCACCCCCAGTGTCACCAAGGACCTTTCCCGGTAGAACGTCTGTTGGGGCTTTGCCGACCTTGGACCCCTTGTGTCAGTCGAACCGGGTGCAGCTTCTCACATTTATAAAGCAAACCGGATGTATACAGCCGCAGCGCCAGGAGACGCAGGCCCCCTCCAGGTGAGGCCCAACTCCGTCCTATGCTTCTGTCCTCAAGGCGTGAGTCAGTTTAGTTCGCGTGGACAGCCGGGTATCACTGCATTTCCGTCCCTACTCTCGGCTCACATAGCGGACACAAACCGATCCACCCCGCCTGGATAGGCGGTGGCGTGGCGAGCATAGGGGCCTCCGCTGCCGCCCCCGAGCTGCCCGCCGGGATTGTAGCAGGCCCCCAGAGCGCCGAACTGGCCGGGCGACGAGCGCCCGTAGAAGTCCACGACGGCCTCGACGCCGCCGCCACCGCTGCCACCCGCGGGGGGCGAAGCGGCTCCGGTGAGGCGGCCAGCC